GTGTGTGACTTCAGCATGTTACCACACTCTATTTAAGGATTATATAAACCCAATTGTCTTAAGGTATTTATGAAAAATTAATTTTGCAAAAGTTCATTGACTAACACAAGCACAATTAAAATAACACATTAATTAAACTAGAAGATAGATCACCTTCTAAAAGCAACCTATTTATTACTTTTCTTCCCTTGAAGCCAAATTACTCTGACTTCATGATGCACTGCTGCATTAACAGGAAGATAATTATAGTAACGTAAACAAAGTTCCAAGTGCCCAACCAAAGGGAACGCTAATCACTATAATGGTGCATAAAAAAAATAAGAAAAACATTTTAGGAAAATCAACATCAATTGAATATGAAGTTAGCTTATGTGATGTTCTCTCAAATATTTCAGTTGTATTGAGAATTCAACATTGAAGATGACTTTGGGAAACGAGTGAATGCAACTACTGAAAGATAATTGCAGACATGGAGGAAATTAGTGAAAAGTTTATTAAGACTCTTTTTCTTTTCTTCTTCTTCTGTTGTTATGTTGCACATTAGCAACATATTAATGCACTGCTGCCTCTCATTGGTTTATTAATGTCATTGGTTCCTTTGTGGCTACTTGAATATTTTAAGTAAGCGTCACTCAAAGCAGTAAGTAAATTGTTTTATTTGCCTTGAAAGTAGCTGTAACTTAATAAAACCTAGTAAGTATAACAACTAAGTAAAGATTACTAATTAAATCTAAGTAAGGTAAACTATTGGGTTTTACAGTGTAGGCCCTATTGTTGATTTTCTCAGAAGTAAATAAAGTTCCGTGAATCGTGACTATTCACAAGCTGTGTTATTTAGGGTAGGCTATAGGCTAATGCTTGGAAATGTTGTTTAAAGTTTTCAAGTCCATTCATTATTTGTAGCACGCAAGCCACCCAATAATCGCAGCTTTGCGCTTTGTTACTACAAAGTCTCAGCCTTCTGTCATGATAAAATACAAACAACAGAAGTATTTTTACGCTCTTTAATTTGTAGTGAGAATTCGCCTCAGTTCAAGCTGCATATGAATCAATTATATTTTCTTCTTTAATATTCGCAGCACGAAATAAACATGAATATGTGAATGCATGTTGAAAAAAATCAGAACAACTTAATACAAACGAATGTCTCATGAATCGATCAGTCAGAGTTTTAAAAAAAGTCAAAAGAATGACGGATACCACAGAGTAGGCCTATGGGTGGAATTTTCACATTATACAACATGATTTTATTATCTTAATTTTACATTTATTCTTAAAATATTATGACATTCATTTTATTTATTTAGTTATTTTTAAACATGGCACAAAAATGCTGCCGTATAGGCTACTGAATGCAAACA